GGAACGCCGTTTGTGGTCGTCGCCACGTGCGGGGGAAGATTCCTCGAGATTTGGGCGTCCTGGGCGTCCTGGGCATCGCGGCACATCGTGGGATGCCAGGCCCATTTCTGCCACTACCACTCTGCATAGAGGAGGGGGTTTGGGAACAGGAGGGCAGAAAGTTGGAGAGAAGCACAACAGGACACGTCCCAGAGTTTCCCCCTTTGTTCACCACGGCTCCCGTCCCGCCCAATGGCATATTCAGCCAAGACGGATGAAATATCAGATCCAGGTTATTGGGGTGTCGCCGAGCCCAAGTTGCCAGTGGACGAGCCTGGTTGTGCCTCACCAAAAAGGGTTGATATGCCGGTCGAGGTACGACGTCCGCGATGGCTGGAATGGGTGGTGGTGGTGGTGGTGGTGGTGGTGGTGGTGGGTGGCAGCAAGAGGGTGTGGTCGAGATGCAGTCCAACTGCAAGCAAAGGTGCACTCAAGGTTAGTCCGAGCGCAAGCCCAAGAATAAACCAGTTGGAACGGGTCTGACGAGCCAGACGAAGGCTCCTCGATGCTACTCGGACCCTGCTGCCAAGCCGGCTTGGCGGCCGCGGCTGGATTAGGTTGGCGGGATCAATCCAACCAGAGGACTCACAAATCCTCTGCTGTCGTCGTTAACCTTTCCGCCTTCCCCAGGTCAACAAGTCTCTTTTCTTCCCCAGTTAAGTGAGGCCCAGCCAAAGGTAGTACCATACCCCCCCGGCCGGACTGTCCACCACTCAGAGGCCGTCTTACCTCATCCTTAAATGGCTGGATATTATCAACAATAATACCCCATACCGTTGGCTTCGTGGTGGAAAGATGGGCCATTCCATTCGGATGGGATCGGTGAGCCAAACACAAGTGCAGTTTGGCTTATCAGAACAGAGTACGGTACCTGGGCAAAGCCGTCCGGCCTCTGGTAAAGAAACACGCATATTCGGCTTCAACCAACATCCCGCTTCTCACCCCTTTTTTTTACGCTTCCAAAGTGATTATTTACCCGTGTTTGACGAGCACGCAGGTTGGATAGCTTGGGGAACCGCTTTCGGAATGCTGCCGACGACACTTCTCGGCAAAACGGGCCTTGGTCACGAGTCGGTGTAAGTGACGGTAATCTGTACACTTCTCTTCCTTTATTTTCTATGGGGATCAGAGAGACTTGCCAGAGTACGGTAACGCTTGTGTTCCCTCAGATCAGAGACATGCTCCGCCTGGTGGTCTCAGTGGACTGAAACCCCCCATGTTGACATGAAAAGGAGACCGGGGGGGCTAGGCCAAGATACAGCAAACCATGGGGAAGCCATGTTGCCAGGATCATCCAGTATTCGAATACCCTACCTCACTGGTACTGGAGCAATGTCATCCACGCTTGCTTACCATTTGTACATGTACTGCTTAGTGTAGCACCCACTAGCCACGACACGGTGTACTTCTGTACCCCCCCTTCAACCACTTACACCTACAAGGTACCCGCGTACCCTTGTTCCCATTTTCCATGTGCTTGGGGTGTCCGTCCGGCCCTGCGGATGAAAGACCTCCAACCTTAAGTTTGTCTTCCCCGAGTATAAGGACCGAAGCATCCTCAACTTGACCCTTTCTTTCTCTGTGTTCCTCTCTCCTCTCTTCAGGGAATCGGCGGTCCGTTCCATTCAGTTATTATCAGACGACCGGCACCTTCATACCAACCTAGCCGTCCTCCACGTCAACACCCTATCCGGACCTCAAAGCCAGATCGAATATCCTCACAGTCGCCATCATGGGTGTCGAGCACGACACACCCGCTCGGGACGTCCCGACGACGGAGAGCTCCAGCGTCAACAACGAGAAGGCTCCTCTTCCCGAGTACGCTGAGAACGTTGCTGTGGAAAGTACCTTTGATGAGAAGAGCACCAAGAAGTTGCTTCGCAAGATCGACGGCAGGCTGCTCCCGTTCCTCGCCTTGCTATACCTTCTATCTTTCCTCGACCGTACAAACATCGGCAATGCCAAACTCGAAAATCTCACACAAGACTTGAAGCTCACCGGCCTCAAGTACAACGATGCGCTTGGTATCTTTTTCCCCTTCTACGTCCTCGCTGAGGTACCCTCCAACATGGCCATGAAGCGCTTCCGCCCCTCTATCTGGATCCCTTCCATCATGATTGCATGGGGTATCTGCTGCACCCTTATGGGCATCGTCAAGGACTACCATGGCTTGATGGCAGTTCGCGCTTGCTTGGGTCTTGCTGAGGGCGGTCTCTTCCCCGGCATTACCTATTAGTATGTATCCTACTTCTGCTTTCTGTCTGGTGGCTGTTACTTACAATCTTCAAGCATCACAATGTGGTACAGGCGTCACGAATGCGGTTTCCGCATGGCCATTTTCTTCTCTGCTGCTACCGCCGCCGGTGCGTTCGGTGGTCTCCTGGCTCGTGGTATTCTGGAGATGAAGGGCGTCGGTGGCTACAATGGATGGCGCTGGCTTTTCATCTTGGAAGGTATCTTGACTTTCGTCATTGGTATGTTGGCCCGTCTTTCCCCTTCCATGCGGCTCGTCTTCTAACACTTTCTTGCAGCCATCATTGCCTTCTTCGTCATGTACGATTATCCTCAGACCGCCAAGTTCCTCAAGCCTGAAGAGCGCGAGGAAATCGCCAACCGCCTCAAGCTCGATCGTTCTTCCCTTGCCGATGAGTTCGACATCAAGTACTTCTTTGCCGCCCTCAAGGACTGGAAGATCTGGGTCCACATGTTCATCACCATTGGCGTTTATACCGGCTTGTACTCGTACTCGCTTTTCGTCCCAACTATCATCAAGAGTCTCAGTTCCGACTTCAGCGCCGAGCAGAGTCAGCTCTTGACTGTCCCACCCTATGTGGTGGCCTGCCTTTTCTGTATCGCCGCTGGCTGGTATGCCGATAGGCTCAAGCAGCGTGGTATCTTCATGCTGGGCTTCATGTGCATGGCGTACGTATCTCTCCCCGCATTCACCCTTGGAACACTTTTACTAACGATTGACTAGGATTGTCGGCTTGATCCTGTTGATGGCTACCACCGCCCCCGGTGTACGCTATTTTGGCTGCTTCCTCCTCGCCTCCGGTATCTATCCCAACGTTCCCCAGGGTGTCGCATGGAACGGCAACAACATTGGTGGCTCACTCAAGCGTGGCGTCGGTATTGCCATGCACGTCGGTTTTGGCAACTTGGGCGGTGTCATCTCGTCCTATCTCTTCCTCGCCAAGCAGTCTCCCCACTACTACCAGGGCTTTGGTACCCTTCTCGGCTGCCAAATCATGGCTTTCGTCTTGTCCCTCTTCATGACCATCTATCTCAGACGCGAGAACGCTCGCCGCGACCGCGAGTACAAGCCCCCCAGCGAGTACACCGAGGAGGAGAGGGTTGCGGAGCGCGAGAAGGGTGATAACGCCACCTTCTTCCGCTACACCGTATAGAAGCCTCCACAACAATGTGCTGTTGGGACTCTTTTTACTCGTTTACGACTTTGGGTTTTGCCATGATGGGAGGTTATGATATGGTTGGATATGGAATAGGACGGACAACATGAACATATGGAATGGGACTGAACATACAGTAAATGTTCATTGACGACTGGCCGGGCGTGTTTATGGCCAATGGGGTCGTCTGCAACCATGCATTTGTACATGTTGATATATACCTTTTATGATTTAATATGGGGAGCGGCACTGGAGAGGGTTCATCATGATTATCACGGATTGGATACCTAGGATCTCCTTTTGGATAGATCAAAACACACTCTTGGATATATACCAATATTATTTACGTACCAAGTATCGCGTCGCTCTCTCTGTTGTACTAAATCATTGCGATGTTCCAGGTGCCTAGATCGATAGGGGTCCAAAGAAAGGTTTTGAGGTGCTTCGACAGAAGGTCTCCAAACATCAGACGACGCGGACCCACGAGGCATGTATGTACCTCTACATACAATACATACACACGGACGTCAAAGCTCGGAGCACGTTCCAAGTCTTGGCCAACCGACCGCACTCGTGCTGTGGCTTAGCTCAAGTCTACTACCTCTAACATTTATCTTGAGAGACCAGGAAGTCCCGGTCTCCGGGAAACAAACATCGACGATGACAGGTGGTGAGCCACATACACTACATCTCTTTTTCGTGTTATCGGGGGATGACGGCTCACAGAGTCACTGATTAGTGGACAACAGTCTATTAAATCTCTGCCAAGAAGGATTATCAACTGATCGATCGCTCAGGGTCGTTCGTTCGGGGTGTGAAGAGGGTAGAAGTGGAGGTTGGTGGCATGTTTTTTATCTGATGGTCGCCGAATTGTTGGACTTCGGTTGCTTGTGGGATGGAGGACTGACTGGATGGTGTGTTTGGTGTTTTTGGGGAAATGCGAGTCTTGGGGGTGTGTTGGGTGGGTGTGGGAGGGATGGAGACCGGATGTTGGTGGGAGGGTAGGTACTTATCTTGGGGATACCGAAGGAAAGGTAGGGTAGGTTATTCGGAGATGTTTATTAGGTGGGTGTTTATAATATGGGGTCTGGGACTTTGACTCTGGATTCGCGGTTGGAAATGGCGTACACATCAATGCTTAAAAGTTTGTTAGCGCCAGACTTGCACTATCTTTAACGACGGAGAGGATAAGGGAAAGATAAGGGTTTTAGAATTGTTTATTAGTCTAAACAATTATAAAGGCTAGCTAAGACCGATAGTTGCTGGTGTCCCACACACAACCACCAAAAACTTAACTCCATTTATAAGGGCAATAACGAACTAGAAGCTATTATTCCAAGACATTGGTAGGCTCACCCTATAGATGTTAACAGAGGCTTTTATAAGTACCACGCTAACGAACTTTCAAGGGTTGATGTGTATGATGCTGTGGAGGAACAGTTTTTTTTGTTTCAACTCACTACGATCCTGATCTTTTAACACCAATCAACAATCTCAACCAGGCATACGGACACGTATAGGTACTAAATCTAGCCTGCATTAACAACGAAAGCCCGCATGGCTCAGTGGTAGAGCGCATCACTAGTAATGATGAGGTCGTCAGTTCGATTCTGGCTGTGGGCAATCTTTTTGCGCTTTTTAACCTTTTTTGTATCCTTTCCTTTCAACCTCACCAGTCCACTTCTATCCTTTTTCATTTTGGTTGTTGGTTTTGACCATTTTGAGTTCTCCGTTTGCGGTGTGTTATAGTGGTGTTTCAAACTGCCAAACACTTTTTGCCATGCTGCTTGCTGCTGTGATTCCATGGTTCGTTCGCGCACGAGACATGCAGACACCGACCGAGACCCCGAAAATGTCGGTACCCGTTGCGGGCCGTGCAGGTAGGCACGATTGATTGCTTTTCACTGCAGTCGCGTGGTGACGGGGTCGGAGTTTTGGGAAGGAGCATTTTGATTCTTGGGCGCGATGTGAGCATGGCACTTGCCAGACTGATGTTCGATGCGAGATGCGTGGTGCGCAGTGCAGAGTATGGGGTTGGCGACCACGGATTGGATGACCTGGAAGCCCGCCTTCGTTGTTTGGTGATGCCCTCAACACACACCTCGGGCTGACGATGGCATTAATATCAATCAACAATTTCAGTGATGCGAATCCGACCAGTTAAACAACGACATGAGCACCCGCGACACATCCCGGCAAACCGAGGCCAAGCCCAATTCCAATTGATCCTCTACCGCTGTCGAGGTCGAAACATTGAATCACCCGGACCCGGTTTTGGAAACGACATGGACGGAATGCTGAAAGACCACGACGTTGCTATCATGCTCTAGAGGACCTCTCTTGGGTCCGATAATGCTCGGCTATAAGGCACTTCGGGGGTTTGCGTTCCCATATGGCTTCGCCGTCATCAGACAGTATGACTGCGAGCCATCAGCTTTACCAAGTTACGATGGTAAGCACTCTATTTGCCTTCGGAGCCAACCGCCGTCCATAACTACCATCAGATCTAGCACCACGCCAGTTGGTGATTCCCCATTGCTGACATGAACAGCGCAGCCAGGCAAGTCTTCGCCTTGAGGTCATACTATATGGTTCATGTTCCCCGTCGCTTGTCAGATCCAAGCCGAACAACCCATCCAGCTGAGAATGATTCCTGGGTCATTAATCCACCAAAAGGTGTGCAAAGCGGCCGCTGAGCGGCCGACCTGCATGAGGGCATCCGAAAAGATGGGATATACTTGGATGGCAACGCCCATGGATATGGTCGAAAGGTATGCTTACTCCAACTCCAAGCTTTTGCATTGTTGATTCTCGCTGCAACAAAAAGACGGCCGGCTATTGAAGTTCTGCTTGTGCAACTCGACATCTTGACACCGCCATGGCCTTCCTCGAGCTCCTGTCCCGGCCAGCCTACTTGGCGCCGACCATGGTGATTCTCGGGTTCATCGTCTACCAGCTCTTTCTGAAGCCTTCCAGGTTCCCAAAACTCCCCATCGTTGGCGCCAAAGACAGTGACTGGTTTCCCCTTTACCAAGCCCGATGGCGAGCCTTGCGACACTTCGAAAGGGGCCTCCGAGAAGCCGAGCGCAAACACAAGAACGAGGCAGTCATATTGCCCTTGATCGGCTCTGATGCTATCATGCTGCCCCGGTCAGAAACTCAATTCGTCATCGACCAGCCTGAAAATGTCCTCAGCTTGCACGCTCAAACCGTCGAGAATGTCGAGCTTGAATATACCGTCACCAAGCCAGAGATTATCCATGACTCGTTACTCAACACTCTTATTACAAACAACCTTACGAAACAAATCGGCACACTCGTTCCCAACGTTCTGGAAGAGATCGTCTGGGGCCTTGACAAGGAATGGGGCAACGACAACGAATACAGAGAAGTGTGCGTCTTCGAAAGTACGAGACACGTTATCGGCTACGCCACCAACCGCGTATTCGTTGGTTCATCCCTCTGTCGCAACCAGGAGTTCTTGGATACTGCTATGGCGTACGCCCAGACTGTCCCCTTGACGGCGACGTTTCTCAAACTCTTCTCGGAACCTCTTCGTCCGCTTGTGGCATTCTTTGCAACCATTCCCATTCACCGCATAACGTGCAGGATGGAGCGGTTGATGCTCCCCGAGATTCAACGACGACTCGCAGCCGATGAGGCTCGTCAACGGGATCCAGAAGATCACAAGCACATGGACCCCGAACCAAACGACTTCCTCCAGTGGACAATCAGGCAGGCGAAAGAAATTGGCGATCCCCACCTCTGGTCGCCAGTCATTCTCACGAACCGAATCCTGGTAATCAGCTTTGCGGCCATGCATACGACTTCTTTCGCCATCACTCACGTTCTCCTTGATCTAGCCGCCTCGAAGCAAGAGTACATTGATGCGCTCCGAAGCGAAGTCGAGTCTGTGCTCGCCGAGCATGGCGGCAAGTGGAACAGGCGCGCCCTGTCCCAGATGGTCAAACTCGATAGCACCTTGCGCGAGTCACAGCGTTTGAACATGGTGGCTTGCATCGGAATAGGCCGCAAAGTAGTGGTGAAAGAAGGAGTCATCACGCCCTCTGGCGTCAAGCTCCCCTACGGAGCTAATGTGTTTGTCCCGGCTTATACAGTAATGCACGACGAGGAACTTTACAATGACGCGGAGTCGTTCAAGCCGTTTCGATTTGCCGAGGAAAGCAGAGAAGCCTTTCCCATGACCAGTTGCAAGTATCTTGCCTTTGGCCATGGAAGGAGCGCGTGTCCGGGACGGTTCTTTGCGGCGAATGAGCTAAAGCTGATGTTGGCGTATATCTTGTTGAAGTATGATACAGAGCTCACGCCTGGGAAGAGGCCGGAGAACAAGTGGATTGGGCAGAACATCATTCCGCCTATGGAGGCGACCATCAGGATCAGGAAGAGGGCTGGGAAGGCATAGGAGCCAAGTCGACGACGCCGAGATATGGGATGAGTAAGACCATCATTGACCGAGCTCACCATTGACGAGCTGTGAATTGTCTTCATCGGGTCGGTCTCGCGGATGTGCTTATGCGGCGATGGCATGATTGACAGCCTAGTACCTAGTCTGCAACTGCCATTCTGAGATGGCTTTCAGCTGCGGGAAGCCCCTGGGCAATATTGATGTGCGACCCAAACATTTGTTGTTCCTACATGACACCATTGGAGATGCTATGTGTGGTCAGCAAATCATAGTATGTGATGGCACTCAGCGGCTGCAATATGTCAGCTGTATGTGTCCTCGTGGTTGCGGAGAGCGAGGCACGACGGCGTCATGGATACTACTCTGATGTTTACTTTGGAATATCGCGAGCTGATAAATTGGGATCCACGCCTAAGATGCTCGGACGTGGTGTTTTTGTTGGGCATATAAAGCCTTCGGATCTCCTGTGATGGTTGTCACTAGAGGTAGGTAGCCCATGAGAAGTAGTTCATTCATCCACGTCTCCGCTCACAGTCCAATCTCTATCCATCCATCCCTCTGAGGACCAACATGAAGTCATTTCTCCTCACCCTCCTCTCAGCATCTCTGCTGCTCCTCCCTCAAACAGTCTCCGGCGCAGGCCCTGAGGCGCTGGCACCCAAGGACAAATACCCCAAGCCTCCCAAGCTGGAGTTCCTCTACACCGTCAACGTCACCGGTGGAGAAACTTACAACATCGGCAATGGCCCGAACGGACTTCGTCTAGTTGTGCCCATCTTGAGCGGCTCCTTTGCCGGTCCTAAGCTCAAGGGTATGTCTGTCACCTTGTCCCTCCAGCCCTCCTCCTTCTTCACGTCTCCTTCCCCTTTCCCCTCCCACTCTCCCCTCCCTCACCTGCTCCCCATTGCTCTTCCTCCCTCCCCAACCATACCCAACAATCAACTAAACACTAACCCCTTTCCATCAAAAAAGGAACCGTTCTCCCCGCCGGCGGCGACTGGGCCCTCTTCCACACAAAAGATAACTCCCTCGTCGCCGACGTGCGACAGACGTTCAAGACCGATGACGGGGCGTACATCCAGGTATTTGAGACGGGAGTTACGCAGCCGGATAATAGTAATAGCTCGTATGTGAGGCTGACGTATGAGACGGGGTATGAGAAGTATGCGTGGCTTAATAGGGTGGTGGCGGTTGGGGTGCTGAGGTTGGTGGAGGGGGTTGGGGGAGGGGGAGGGGGTGGGTTGAGGATAGATACTTGGTATATGGTTTGAGGGTGGGATGGTAATGGGGGAGGTATGGGAGAAATATGGGAAAGGGGGAGGTGAGGAAGATCTCAGGTAGCGAGAGTGCAGGAAGAGGGTGGGAAAGACATAAGCGATGTAAGCGATGGACCAGATGTGGACAACGAGGCAATGCACATGCAATTCAACTTAACACATGCACAAAAACATTATATCGCATATATATAAGTGATAATGAAAATAATAGGGTGTCAATTCAAAAGTCGTTTAATATTTGCGGGTATATTGGCCGCAATAACCCCCCGCCTGTGATGGTAAGACCAATTGCGCTATCCTATACGCGACGCCAAGATCTTCTTGGCCACATAAGAAGTTCCACAAACACCCACATCCAACAATAACCACTACTAGTCACTTTGGCGGAGTGGTTAACGCGCTGCCCTGCTATTCGCAAGAAAGCAAGTTTAGGCAGTTCCCTCGGGAGCGCAGGTTCGAATCCTGCAGGTGACGCATTCTTTTTTTTTTGGATTCTTTTTTGGACCCTTCCCTCTAAGCTGAACGATGATTGTCGGCAGCGGGATGTGCTTTCTTTCCTTTTTGTTTTACTTCGAAATGTTTGGGATCTATGACGAGGGCGGCTGATTGAGTAAGGTTGGGATTTGTGATGTTGGACGGTACTTGTTCCGACATGTTTTTGGATTTGGTGAACATGCCCAGCTAGCATGTTAATTTTAAAGCCGTTGAAAAGGCGAAGTGAAGTACCTAGACTCTTATTATCGTAAAGGTGCGACGCCGGAACAGAAGGTCTTGATAGCTCGTGCACGTCAATGTTGTCATGTTTCTTGTGAGTTCCCCCGGTCGAAGAAAATTGCGTGCGTAGCGGTAGAACAACAGCGACCTAAAACCAGCTGCAAGTCCGTCGCCATATCGAACTTACTTTCTAATTGATCTTTAACTTTTTTACAAGTAGAAACATTGACGCTGGACATATCATCCCTTCGAGCTGGAGGAGCTATGACCTCTAGTTCATCCCATCTCATCACCATCTGGAGGTGGTGCACCATCGGATGAAAGCCTGGGATCCCATGCGAAATAACACAAAGAAAAATGACAAAACACAAACCATTGACATTACCGCGCTCTAAAGAACAAGATATCGACAAGCAAAAAGAGGCAAAAAGATGGACTAACCGCGGATTGAACGCGGGACCGTCTGTATTGTAGTTTTTCGAAAAGTCACTGCAAAACAGAAATCATACCACTAGACCATTAGCCCATAACTTGAAAATAGGTGGTAGGGAGAGGGTTTATATACATCTAGAACTAGTGGGTTGGCGCTCCGCATCACTCCTGACTCCACGTACTGGAACGTGGTTTCCATCCTTTGCAGGTTTAGACTTTAGAGGTACCGCGGCAGGGCGCCCGCGGGAAGGTGCGCCGCCCACTGCACTGACCGGTGCAGCCCTCCCCCGGCCCAAGGTTTAACTACCTCTACAACCCCCACGCCCACATTCCATTCCCACCACCACCAACACCCTTCCTCCCGCCTTCTGTTGGACTGGAACGGCGAAAAGGTTGTTGATTCTGATAAGAGTACAAGGTAGGAAAACCAACGAGGGCAGCCTAAATACCCAGGACGGGAAGTGCCTGTGACTGGAAGCACAGTGAATGGGCGCCAAGAGGCACGGCCGGCCAACACCTTCCCCAGGAGCCTTCGAGTTCGGTCCCGCAACAACTACAACAACAACAACAATCCCCACTCGCCGGGAAGCAATATGATATGATGTCTTGGGTCTTTTGGTCACACAAGTATAGATCCCAAACTTTGCTGTAAATTGCTGTGTGACGGGTACTCGGTAGTGCATCACCGTTCGTTGGCTGTACACCAAGCCACGTTTGGCGTTGGAAAATTAGGTAGGTAGGTAGGTAGTTTGAGAAGAGGAAAGAAGAAGACCGGGCTCTATCTACCCTACTGGCAGACTGACGCAAATGACGGGACCTTTTCTTAGGTAAATTGAATTCCGTTGGATATCATATCGACTGAATCTAGTAGATTCCGTTGCCTTGACTGAGCCACTTCCTGGAATCCTGGTGGCATCATTCGCGTTAAGTCCTGTGTGCCCGAAGTGCTTGTTCAGCCAAACAGTCTCTTCTGCTTTTATGTTTTTTTTTCTGTATCCAACCTCAACTCAATTCTACCACGAAAAAGAACAACAACAAAGGAAATAATGTTACAAACAACGAAAAGAAACCTGCCATCCCTCCATATACCATAGATCATCAAACCATCTCCCTCTCCCTAGCCTGCTGCTGCTCCCTACTACTACTCGGCCCATGCGTCGCCTGACAGGTAGTAATAGTCGTCACGTTCTTCTTTCCATTCATTCCTCCCATGCCTGGTATTCCCATCGGACCCATCCCCATCCCCATCCCCATTCCCATTCCACTGATCCCCTGCGGCTGCCCCTGGCCATAGTATGGCGTCGCCCCCATATCATCATTCTGCTGCTGCTGCTGAGACCAGACCAGGTTCCGTTCACTACCAGCTGGACTTATCCTCCCTCCTCCGAGTCCGAGTCCGGCATTCGAAATGTCTTCTTCTGACCGTGTTCCTGCATTTAGCCCAGAGCCTCTGTTGTGTCCGAGAGAAGGCTCGTGTCCCATGACTTCGCTGATGGGAACGCTCTTCATCTCTATCTCGTGTTCGACCTGGATTTCACCGGGTCTGATGTGGTTACCGCGGTCGTGGTTTCCGGAACGCATGGCGCTTCCGCCGATACTATGCGCCGAGCGTGTATGAGTGCGGACGCGGGACCGGTTGCCGGACTCGGAACTCGAGCCACCGGCGGATTTGTTGCCGTCTCCATGCTTGCCGCTGCCGCTGCCGCCGGGGAACTTGGACTTGGAAGCGTAGTAGGCTCCCTTGGTCTTGGCGTAGAGGTCGGAAAGTAGCATTTTGGGAAAGACCTTGATGATTAGCGGTTTGAGAGCGGGCGCGGAGGCGCACATGATGGCGATGTTGACTTCGATGCAGGACCAGATGGCTATGGAGACGCCCATCACTTTTTTTCGGGTGTTAGCACAGTACATGCAGCCTGTGAGAGCCCAGGAGGAAAACAACTTACCAGACTGCTCCACATCCGGCGCCGACGCAATCTGCTTCAGACTAAACAGTCTCACGATACTCATCACGCTAGCAAACGTTCCCAGGCCAAAGAGACTCGTGAGAACAATCTTTTGCCTCCTCGGAATCTGCAGCTTCCACAACAACGGAATCGGGACTATGGCCAGGACCAGGTCCGAAAGGATGTTGATACCGGCATTGACGAACGTGATAATGTTCTTGTCCATGCACATCCCCCTCGGAGCTTGCGGGCCGCGGACGGCTTCCCACCAGAGGTTGATGGGCCAGCAGGTGAAGAATGTCCCGAAGACGGTCCAGAGACCGTAGATGACCACGAGAACGAAGTAGATCTTGAAGAACTTTTGCATGCTTGGGGTGCGGAAGACGCGGTAGCATTGGACGGTGATGGACATCTTGACAAACATGAGGGCGAGGGAGTAGATCCAGATGGTTGCCCAGAGAGCCTACAGTTAGGAGTCAGTTGGTGTATGGCTTGGGCTTGTGAATGAGGGGCTGTACTCACGTATAGAAAGCCGACGACTTCATCTAAGCTTTTGAGATGTCTTCCTAATCCGGCTTTGATCTCTGCAGGCCGTTGTCAGTTATATGTCACGGTCATAGTTGGAGATGAGAAGACCTTACGTATCATGATTACCGTAAGATATGCAATCGATGCTGCCTGTCAACCAGCAAGGGTGGATGTTAGCCCATGTTCCTTCAAGTTGCTTCTCAACCTCCATCCAGAAGTGATCGACAACCCAACAAGCACCAGGGGAATAGCTTCATCTCCGTCACCGCCCGCTGTGCCCTGTCAAGAGGTAAGCCGTAAGCGCGGCCCGATCCGCTGCTTTGTTCTCCATCTCCCTTGTCCCAATCCAAACTCAATTCCCCATAACCGCCGAACAGGTGAGGAAAGCAAGACTCACCATCGACCCAGCGATATAATAATCGTCAGACCCAACATTCTTGACCAAAACTGTCCTCGTGAACAACCGAAAGCAAACGGTGATGAAGGCCAACGTGGTGAATATGATGTCCACCACCACTACCGCCACGGCCGGCTCAGAGACCCACGACATTTTGACGTTGAGAGGCTATCGCCTGGATAGCATTCTCTGGTTTTTGTCTTTGCTTCGTCGTTTCCCTCAATGGTTCTTCGCTGATAGTAGTTCCTGCTGTCGGAGATGATGTTTGCTCACCCGTCAAGGGAATATCGGAACCAGCGTGTCGGGCCTTGTGGCGTTTGTATGATGATGTCAAAGGAGAGACTCGGGTGGGCTGATGTTGAGCAAACGCTGTGGGAATCGACAGTGTCGAGAAGCTTCCAAGGAAGGAAAGGTCCAGCAAGCAGAGCAGGTGGAAAATCCTTCAAGTCTCCACAATGGGACGTCTCCAGCGCACCGGGCCTTATATCAGAACCCCTTCAGTTGCCGAGAGCTTCTAGTTCTCTTCTTGCCTTCTTCTTGTCCACTCGGTAGGTGTGTCTACCCTTTCTTGGTATCTTATCCGACGGCCGAAAGCAGTCCAGATGTAGGAAGGGGTAGTATTCCGTCACGGTAGTAGTCGTTTACTGTTGCCTGGTAAGCAAGTGTGTTTGTGGGCTCGTGGGCTTTGCCGGCAACTATTCGACCGCTCGAGATTAGATCACGCATAAGGAAAGGTTGCAACGAAAGTTCTCATGCGATTTTTGACAGAGCCAAGATGGGGAAAGTAATTTGGGAAGACAGATAATGGGATATCTAGCCACTCGACACATGCAAGACCGGCAGGTAGGCCGAGTGTTGGTAGGTAGACGTTAGACTAGTGAAGGGAAAGAGGCAGGTGAAGGGTGACGGGCACGGAACGGAGGATTCACCAAGCGTTCGAGCCAAAGTCTTGAGGGCCATGGATCAGCTTATCTTGCGCGTGTCTCGTTCACCAGGTTTAGAATTTCGTGACTGACTTGATACGCTCACAGAGCATCCCGCGCAATATGCTCATGCAGAATGCTCTTCGAATGATGGTTGTGGCTTGTCTCGGCTGGTCCTAGTCTAAGGCGTCAAGGAAGAGGGAGAGGGTAGGTAAAAATGGCAGGGATGGGCGGAACGGGGTCCATGGGGCCAATGTTTTGGACCGGTTGGTGTGTGTGCTCATCAATGTTGCAGTTATTCAGGAACGGAGGACCCTGGGGCAAGAAACATGCAGCTCAGGGACGGGTTGAGGTTAGTGCTTGGGACGCCGAGTTACGTACATAGTCCCGGCTTATTTTCCCGTTTTACCCTTCACCAATCAGGACCGCTGAGTGTCCTGATTTGACAATGGGCTTTTGCACGGCTAGACCGTGTGAATCAAGTTGTCTTTGCAGGGAGATTGTTCAAGCAAGGGATATTGGTATCTTTCTCCAGCCTCAGGACAGCATTTACAACGCGTTTTGACATGTAATCCCATTCTGTGCTCCTGTCTGGCAAGGATGGGGAAAGTCATAACGGTCCACCACTTATTTGGAAGATGGAAGTCAAAGCGAGGATGCAATGGCAAGTCTTGTCAGGGGCACGAGAATGAACTCGGAGTAAGACGGGCTTGTATCGAAGATTTGAAGTGGCCCTTGTCATGATGGACGATGCACGTGGGTTACATTCCGAGCTTCTTCTCCTTTCAACATGATGAGAACCTTGAGTGCTCGCTAGAGCCAACAGTCCTCGGTCTCGCTTGAGTGAAAGAAGATCCATCGTGGGGGGGAAGGAAGGAACAGTCCAAAAGCGTGAGAGTGATGGGGTGAAGAATGCAAAGAATGGCTAGAGGGAACCATTGTTTCGGAGTGAGTGGTCGGAAGGAATAGGCGAGTGCCATGAAGCGAGAGGATTGGACATGTCCAAGTCCGAGAGAACTCCAGAAAAGAGCATGAATATCCTTGGCTACAAGCTTCGTGATCCTTCCGAGGCACGTTTCTCGCCTGTCTTTGGTGTTCCCATGCTTCCATGCTTGAACTGGTCGGAAGTGAAGTGGAATTGCTTCTTTGATGGCCGAGACGACCGAGACCCGTGATGTGAGCTCATCACAATAAATTTCTCAACAGAATCTCGATGGAGGACTCCGAGGACCAGAACTCTGGAACTTGAAAATAAGAAATGCCATTGTTTGCCGTGGTTTCGGTGAGGTCTCGATTTTGCCGC